AATCAAGTTTGTAAATTACGATAAAAGTGGCAAAAAGAGGAAGAAAAAGCAAAAAGAATCTTAATTAGAAATAAAGTTTGGAATTAATCAAGCAAACTTTACTCCCAGCTAAAGCTATCAAGTCAATTTTCGCTAATAATTCCAAAGGTTTAAAAGGCTTTTTTTCATTCATCAATAAAAATCTGTTTAAGTCGATGAATTGATAAATTGTTCCATTTCAAATTTCTTTCTCTGTTCATTTTCCTAATTGTGCTGCTTGAGATGAAGCCTAATCTGACATGGAAGATGAAGTCGAAAGGTTAACATTTAGATTATTAGTTGAAATGTTAAGTTGATTTACTAAGCTTAAATTGATTGATTGATGGTGATAGTTTATCGGATAATAATATTGAATGATTCAGGGAATGTAATAAAAATGTCGAGAAAAGGAAAAGTTGAAAGGAGAGAAAATTGGACAAAAGTTTATTGAAATGTTTCAACGTAGTAGCAATATCCATGATGATATATTGAGAACAATCATGAGTCTGGAGCCTTTTTTGCAGGGAATTTGCTTTTACTCTTATTTCCATCAAACTCGTCATCTTTTCCTTTTTATTTTCATTTTGTCCTTCGACATAATAACATGGATAATAGAGGAATAAAGAAGCAAGCAAAAAAAGTGAATTGGTTGACTTTGCTTTTATTAGAAGATTAAGTTGAAATCAAAGGCAAACTTTTTGCGAGTTTTGGGTTATCCTTTTGGGTGCTTTTTTGTTGTTGCGTGCTTATTTTGTTTCTCTCTTTTCGTTGAAAGCAAAGAGAGCAAAACAGTTCTTTTCTTGTTGTTGTTCTTCTTCTTGTGCTTGGCTTAACAAAAGGGATGAACAGGGAGAGAGCATTAAAAACAAGGAATAGATTCTGTCTTGTTGTTGCTCCGAATGGTTCTTTGAAGCGTTACAATTGTCGATCTTCAATAATAAAGTATTACACTATTTGCTGCTGATATCGTTTATTAAATCGATTGGTGATCAAAAGCAAAATTACTTTTCATCTTATTCCCAGCCAATTGGCTCACAACTTGTGTATTAACTGTTTACCATTAGATGTATTCATTCATCCAGTTTAACCGTTCAACTTCTTTTACTGAACAACAACAAGAAAGAAAACAAAAGGCAACATTTTGCTTCTTTTTTCAATTTCATTCGTAGAAATGATGATTACCTTGTGTAATATTCATATCATCAAGGTGTGCAATGTAAATAAAATAGATCGTTTCAACTTTCAATGAAATATAAAAAAGTTGATTTGCTTGTGGTTACACTCGATTTAACGAGAAAATTTTCAACCTTTCTGGCCGATCTTTCGAATCATGAGCAAAATTGAAAACTTTACCTTTGATTCCGTTTCTTTCTCAATAAATTATGTTACAAAGAAAATCTGTTTTCTTCTTCCATTGATGCAACAAAACACCTGTCAATCATTGCTTGACATCGACTTGTTACATAAAAGTGTGACTTTTTTACTCGCTCAATACATCAAAGCTCACCTAAAGTGATCCATTTCTTGCACAATTTTATGGGTCTCAACTCACAAGTTGTGCGCAAAGCTCAGCAGCTCTTTCATACGCGATTCAAATTCTGATTTTTTTGTCATAAAATCCTTGGTGAGAATTCTTAGTCTGGGTAGGAAACGGAACTTCCAATGAGTTAAAAATAAAGAAAATCGTTTTAGTTCTATTAGGTTGTCCGGCGCAAACGATGACTCGGTTTTTCTTTTATTAAATTTGATCTAATTGTCGTATGGAGATGAATATTCGTGGTTAGCATCATACACTATTTGGGCATTTTTTGCAATTAATAGAAATTGATTATCTCAATTAATTGTAGAGATATTCAAATCAAATTGGAAAGCCGAGTTTATTTTCGTCTGCATCTTGATTAGGTGCTCAAACAGTTGATTAATTGGCGTCCATTCAATCGTGAAATTTGAATGGAAGTGAGGTTAATTGTATCATCAAGTTTGAAAAATTGTTCAACAAAAGAGTTGCAAATATTTTCGACAAAGCCAGTCTTTGTGCTCGGAATAATCAAAATTCCAAGACTTTTTCCATGTGCGCACTTGCACCAATACAAAATTAATCAACTGTTGATTTTAGTGTTTTAATCAAGAATCAAGTAAACTCGAAGCATCCAGTTGTTGGCAGAAAAGAATGTTTCCTCGTTTTTTTTGTTTACCATTTATTAAGTTCACGGCCATTTCATTTTCTGTAACAGGGAAAAAAGTAAAAACTAAACAATGAAAAGGAAGGAAGATGATGATGAAGGAATAGTAGAAGTAGAAGAAAAAAGTTGAAACAGTAACAGGAAAACAGGAAAACTCAGTAAATAGTATTTGTCTTAATTTCGATGAACTTTCCTTTTCTCTTTCTCTTATTGATATTTCAAATAATATAAACACTCAACAAGACTGAATCTTAGCTCAACTCTTCTTGTTGAACAAAGCTGGATCAAGAATCTATTAACACAAGAAAAAGCTTTTCGTTGTTGCATTATACAAATTGAATGTTTACTGAATAAAGTCAAATTGAAATTCTCAATGGTCAAGAGAAGATTTTTTTTCTCCAATATTAAAACGTTGGCACTGATTTGGAAAAGAATTTTTGACGCCCTTTTTTTCGATTTCCATAATTTTTTGTTTCAATATTCAAATCGATTCTTTTTTGTTAGAATTTCGTTTTTTTGAACAAACATTTTTGTGATTTTTTCCTGAATCAATTAGATGTTGCTTTTTCGTTGATAAAATGGATACAAGTAAATGAATAAATGTAAAGCTCATGAAAGTTAATTATGAATCAATATCAAAATGAAAGACAGGGAAACACTCCCAGTTTAGTTGGCTGGGAGTGAAAATCAAAAGGTGATAAGAGACCAGGAATTAGGCTTTTTATCCAGTCTTCTTTTTCCTTCTTTTTTCCTTGTGAATTCTTTATCGAAAAACAGGTTTAATATCAAATGAATACTTGTCAACAACTTATCAGACTGCGCCATGATCCTCAGTTTTTCCTTCCATAATTCAATCTTTTTCGCGTCTCTTTATTCAACATAAAACTGAATCATCATCATCCTTCGTCTCTTGTCAACATGAATACTTGTTTCACTTTTTTTACTCATAGTTTTGCCCTTTTGTGGGTGACAAATTTTGATTCTTGAATATTCAGTCTCTAGTAAAAGAGCAAAAAATCAACAAGTTCAAAAGTTTTATTCTTTTCGCTGAAAATCAAGTTTGTCTTGACAAGCTGAGCAACTATTAATATGAATACAAAATGTTCACATACTCAACACATACTGTCCGAATTCTCGCTGCAGTAACATTTCGCTTCAATTTTTGAGCATCATTATGTTTTGCGTTTGTGTTTAAAGGCAAAAATGCTTTTTTGTTTTTCATGCTCTACAATTTATATCAAAAAAAGCGCAACGATTATAAAAGTAAGGGTGCTGTCAAGCAAAATACAGCCACGGAAAATGAGATGCGAATACTTTTGGTATCAATTGCGCATATAAAGATTACATTTTATTTATCAGTGTTGATAGTTTGTATCAGTATTTAATCAAATTTAATGAAATCCACCATTCGCAGTATTTACATTCACCCCAAACATTTTTAATTGATTTGAATGCAGTTGAATAAGGTGAATCAAAACAACAAGTCTTTAATCGCTAAATTTTATCAAAATCAAGTTGATAAGTTATCAATTTATGCGTCAACTTTCTCAAAAATTCTCGCATCTCATTTTCCGTGGCTGTATTTTGAATCATAGAAATAATTTATTAATACTTTGAATTTTGGAAGCAAATTTTTTCTGAGTTAAACATCTTTTTATTGTATGTTAAAAAATCAGTGTAAATGCGGTGTAAAAGTTTTGTCACTGCAATATGAAATGACTTGCAATTATTTATTACATTTGCATTGATTGCTGGGTTAAATATCTTTTGCACACTTCTCAACTTTTTTTGCTCCAAAACTGACAGTTCACTCTTTAATAATGAGAATAGTCACAATGTTTATTGTTTTTGCATCGTCTGTCGCAATTAGCATACTTTTAACGACATTTTGATTTTGATGAGATTGTTTGAAAGCTTTCTACAAACTCTCAAAAGTATGAATCTTAACTAGGTTTGTAAGTAATAAAAACTTTGTTTCATTGACAGCATCATCTTTGTCATGATAATAATGCTCCACTTTTCCATTTCTACTTGTAGTAATGAGATGGAATCTCATTCTACGCTGAAAAACAAACAATTTAGTGTTTCTTGACATGGTTATCACGGTTATTTTGCTATCAATTATAATTTGCTAATAACTAGAAAAATGAATGGTTTATCATCATAATAGTTTTAATAAAGTTCGAGTAGAAACTTAATTGCGCCAAAACTTTTCTGTTCTCAGCTTCGCAAGCCTTCTATTGATCATAAGAGCAATGACAGTGTAAGTACTATCAGTGACAGTTACTAACAATTTAAGTCTAGTTGCGAATTTTCATAGTAATGGTAGATGCACACTTAATTTCAGCTTGGTCCATGTTTGAACCAGATGAAGGAACGAGAGCATCTGTAAGACGAGAAATACCATTTTATTACATTTTGCTTACATTTAGCAAAAATTTAAAATGCATCAAGACAAAAATGTGTAATCTTGAGATGTTATTTTGCAAAAGCTTTTTAGTGGCTGGCATAAATCCAACATGACCAAGCAAAAGTACGAAAGTTCTGGTTTCGAAGTTGTAGCAATTCTACATAATACTAAGTAGCTGAATAGACCCGAAATTTGCACAGTTTGACCTTGAAAATCTGAAAAACCAGAAAGCATAAAAAAGGTTTTTGTAAATTCGAAAAGATGTGCAAGTGCAAAAATGTTAGCCCGTACTTTATGCTGCAGGGAAAACTAACAAGTAAGATATTTGAATTGGTACAATATTCAGAGTTGAATATAACCTTGTTGAGATGAAATTGAACAAAATTGAATGAGTTTTAGAATTTCATTTTTTATTCCTTTATTTCTCCTTTTCAAGTATTGAACTATGAAAACAAGATCATTGAAGGATAATGGTTTGACGTCATTAATCCTACAGGTTTTTGTACAGTTAGAACCCTGTATTGCTTTATTCTCAATTAAGCGCGTTTACCCCAAAATCCCATTAACCAGGTTTGCAGCAGTATCGAAAATATTTGAGCGATCCCGCGATTCGTGATCTGATTGGTCAGCATAGAACAAAAACAATATCTGATTAAAACTTGCAATGATTTCATTGTTTAAAACCTAAATGGGTATGGTTCAAAAACTTACACTGGGTTCGTGCCATGGCTGCACCAATTAAAACTATTATGAAAGTGCTGTTGTACACAAAAAATACGAATGTTTCAAATTGCATTTTGATTACTTTCAGAATAGTTACAAAAATCAAGAAAAAAATGAGAAAGTAAAATGCGGATTGAGACTGAAACTAATATCATTTTTTAGCAAATCGAGATTTTTTATACTCTTTATTTGTTTGAAAATCAGCCGGTATTACTCATCAATATTTTCGGTAAACAAACGTGTTTAGTCATTGTTTCTAATAGATCTGTATTTAGCAAACAAGCATGACTTCATGAAATTTAAATTTCATTAAAATTGACATCAAACAGACTTTTCTGCTGCTTCGAAGCTGGTTCTTCCATGACATGAATATTCATTATTCAATTTTATTGTTAAATCATCAAAAAAATTGACTCACTTTTGCCACATTTCCTTTCAACGTCTAGAGGTGTACTCAATTTTTCAATTGATAACGAATAATTTTCGGCAAAAATAGTGTTGACTTAAAATATCGTATAATACATGAATAATCATAAACTATGAAACTTGTTCAATGAAATGAAAAATTTGATGTGCAACTGCTTGGTCAACAGGCGTTTGTCTTTCTCAAAATTAAATTTTATTCATTTTTTGTTATTTAACTACTTCTTGTTAAATAGCAAACAGACTTAATGAAATTTAAATTTCATTCAAATTGACAAGACTTTCTTCTACACTGAATCCGTTTCCTCATTGACGTAAACATTTATTGTAAAATTCTGTATCCTAAAATTTCTGTTTAATTTTAAAAAGTTCATTGCACTCAACAAACAACCTTCTACAAATTTTAGGTGTCACCTCGGTTTATGATTTATGTCGAATGAGCGAAAACAATCAACCAATCAAAAACTTATTTCGTCAATATATTAGAGCCAAAAATGTCTTGGGTTACTGTAAAATAAATTTTCTATCTCTAGTTGTTAAAAATCATTGTAACTCGTAAGTAAAAAGCAACCTAAACTACGATTGACAATCTAATTGCTCGATTCACATTCGACTTCGCTGTTTTCATCAATACAGAAAAAATATCGCTAGGCAATTTAAATTCAAAAGAATCGTGAAGTTTAATGAAACACTGAAAAGTGTTTTTTCGTTTGGTCTGGTTGCGGGTATTGACTACCGCGCAAATGAGCCAATGCATAGTTATTTAAATGGACATCTTATGCATTTCCTCTTTCAATGATGATTCCAAGATTTCATTATTTATTCAATTCTTTTGATTGAAAATCATTTAACTGATTCTTGTCAACTGATTAATGTTTACTTCACAGTAAATGATGTTATCCTTTGCTGTTGAACCCTCAATTGATTTTGTTGACCGTTGCTTGTCCACTCTCAGCTTCATGTTACCTTTCCCTGTTCACCCCTACCACAACTACCACCATTCATCATCATCATTATCGAAATTATTTTTTCATCTTCTTCTGGGAATAAACATTGACTACATTTAGTAATGCAAATAACTTATCCATTAAGTAATGTCCATTTTATCTTTTCATTTTGTTTACTTTTCGCTCTTTTTATTTGCTACACAAACTTATTATACTACAATCTGAAAATAACCATCATTATCATCATCATTGGAAACCATCATCACCAATACTGTGAACATTTTTATTGGATTGGATAAATAGAATGAAAAAAATCAAGTGATGACCACCAACGTTTGGCTGGAACTGGTATGTATTTTTAATCCCTTTTTTACAGCCAACCAAATCCATCAACATTAACAACTTTACAAAATCCATTTAACAGTAAACAGAGTTGTCACAATTTCACGTAAATTGAATAGAATTAAATTGTTGACCAATTATCTGAGATCAAGACTTTCCTTTTCAGAAAGTATTGAGAAAATGGTCATTTGGCCAGAATCTCTCGTCTCTCGATTCAACTTGATTACGTTTGTCTTTTACAACTGATCCATAATAATCATTCCGTAAATGAAACATTGAAACATTTTGCATTTTATTTGCTTTTTTTGCACTCACTCTTTTCCCATCTTTTGTCAACTTTTCAACTCGACTAATCAATTTTGCAAATCAGTTTTTGATTGATCGACATCAGTATGCTTAATAGACTTGAAACCAACCGATGCTAAATCATTTACTCCAACTTTTTTTTCGCCCAACAAAACAATTTTCTCTTTGTAATCATTCAATTGGGTTAATCAATCATTGATGTTACTAGATAACAATTCAAATGCTCAAGACAATTAAAATGCATCCATTATCTAATCAAGTTTCATCGAAACAGAATAAAAAGCAAAAATTTTAATGAGATTCGAAATGCTGGAATAGAAATTAAAATTCGTCAGTGGCACAAGAAAACGAAAACATTACATCCGAAGAGATTAAAAAGATTTGTCAGAATCTCAAATGTATCGAATGCTGTAGAACTCGAAAATACAAACTAAACAATTTTTTCGACTTTAGACGTAAACCATCAAGTTTCAATTCCAGTTTTATTTAGCTGAACATTTGTAACTTGGAATAACTTTGGAGAAACTTTTTTTCGTTGCATTTGTAAATCATGTAAAATTAACATTGGTTTTTATTCAAGTATCAAAGTGTTATTAAGCTGTAAACAAGTCAATGTTTTCCTGATTCCAAAATTTAAACTTTTTTCTCTACATCTTTCTATCGATTAAAGAGGAAAAACTTTTTTTTGTTATAAACAGCCTTTTCCGATTCGAGTTATTGTTCAACTGTAAATTGTGTCTTCCTATTCAATGGTTGACAACATTGACTTTCAATCAAGACTGAAAAGGAAAAGAAAGAAAGTTGAGAATATTTTTTTTATTCATTGTAACCAACAATTTCACTCCCAGTGAGAACCATATAAAGAGTAAAAAATAGACAAACTATTCAACTTTGAGTTTCCTTCAACCTCTCAATTGTAACCATTTTTTGTTTAACCTTTTTTTTGCCCAACTTTTCAACACCAATAAAAAGGAAAAGATTGAATCAAATGTAATTCAATTAATTTGGTTTATATTTTTGCATTCAAATTGTTTACCTCAACTAAATCATCACAGTTTAATAGTTGGAAGCAAGAAAACATTTTAAACTCAAATTTTCTACTGTTAACAACATTGAACCCAAATTGGGACAGTAAGGTTTGATATCGACCAAATAATCAGTTAAAAAATGAGAACATCATTTCACTCCAAGTTGTGATAAATCACAATTTCTTTCCATTTTCCAGTCAACTCGTTAACTTTATCAGTAAACAGTTTGATAAATTAACTAGAGAAGAACAGGAAGAGAGAGAAAAAAAAAGTTTCTATTGAGTTATAAATAATAAAGTAAAGTATAGAAAAGTTGATAAAAATTCATTCGAGAAAAGGTGAGATTAAAAGAGTTGAAGAAACGGTAAACAAGAAGAGTTGCCAATTGAATCGACTGTCATCACGTTCATGTTGAACAGCAAGAAGGCCTCAATTGAGTACAATAATGATTGCCATTTTGAAGTGTTGCCAAAATCGAGGTCATCAGAGAGAAAAGTTTTTCGAGAAAAGTTTGAAAATCGAAGGTTGCACCTGCAAACAAATTGATGGTTCAATAGATTAGGTTCAATGATAAACATTGGCAAATCAATTGAATCGTAAACTTTCCTTTTCTTTTCTTTACTTGAAAAGTTGTGATTGCCGTTCAAAGGCAAAGCCCTTTTCACAGTTTAACGAGAAGACAAGAGTTGTAAGACAAACAAATGCAAGACAAATTGTAATCAAGTTGATGTAAAAGACAAACAGTAAAGTTCTGAAAAATTTTAATCAAATTAAATTTTCTTTTCGACGAAGAAAGGAAAAAAAGAATTTCCCATTTTCCTTTTCTCATATGTGCTACTTTTGGGTTCATTTTCAGAGGTGGAATGATTATCAACTCAAATGGGATCCAGCTGATTACGGTGGAATAAAAGTTCTCAGATTGCCCGCTGATAAAGTATGGAAACCAGATTTAGTTCTATTCAATAAGTAAGTAAATTTCAAACTTGTTCAAGTGAAAACAAAAGCAGAAGAAGGTTCATCTTCATTTGAATGAACCAATTAACACTTGACTAGGTTTTCACCTTGCATCAAGTTCATCTTGAGCCAAACTTTTCTCACTGTTCAATCTTCAAGTCTTTTCCTCAAATCATTTGACAAAGTAATAACTAAAGTTCAATAAAAAAGCAATATCGACCTGAAATTGAAACAATGTTTACTGTGAAAATTGATACTCTTTTAATAATGATAATCAACAATAATTTATATTTCTTCTTCTTCTCTTTTCCTGAAAAATTTCATTTTCCTTTCAACAATTTATTTCAATTTCACAGTTTCTTCGCCATTCCATATCGATTCAAAATTTGACAATTCTCTTTTCCTTTTTTCCTTTTTTCTGAACAAAAAAAAAGAAGATGAAAAATGAAATAAAAAAACAATTTGAAATGAGATTGACAATGCTAACAGATTTAATCAATGAAACAAAAAAAATATTTTCTTCACTTTTCTCTTAACATTGTTTCTTTCATTATCTGTCATGATGAAAAATAATTTGATGAGTTGGTTGAAAATTTCTTCAAGAAAAAAGGATCAATTTTGCTCTTCTTCCATCTTGTCCTTTGCTGCTTCCATGAGCCACCCTTTTACATGATTTAATCTGATGATGAATTATTTCCACTCAGATTCAATGTAATTATAAAGAGTAAAAAAAGTGAATATTTTATCGAAGTAATCAAAGAAGAAAATTGTGAAAGAAACAAAAAAAAAGACGAGCAAACTTGGAATTTGAAAGTTATGCAAATTTTTTCTCTTTTACTTTTTTCTCTCCTTCTTCTCTTGATGGCAAAATTTTCTATTCATGGCAATGATTATTATTATGCACATGATTATGAGCGTCTGATGAGAATTATAAGTTTACATTGAAAGTTTCAAAATTCATTTTTCATCATTCTCCACTTTTCTCTGTTTGGCTCATTTATTAAATTATCATTTCATGCAATTTCAATTCTTTAACTTTCTTCTTACTGACACTAATTATAAACTAATTAGGCCTGTGATTTAATTGGACTTAAGGGAATTGACACATTCTCATGTTGATAAATAATTCAACAGATTTTTTTTCTTCTCTTTTCCATTCATTTGAAGTTTAACTCTTTTGTTTCTTCTTCTTTTTTTGTCTTTTCGTTCCCAGTGCTGATGGTAATTATGAGGTTCGCTTCAAGAGCAATGTTCTCATCTCGGACAACTCTGAAGTCCAATGGGTTCCTCCAGCTATATATCAAAGTTCATGTAGAATTGATGTGACTTATTTTCCATTTGACCAGCAAAAGTGTGAAATGAAATTTAGTTCATGGACCTTCAATGGTGACCAGGTTAGCCTTAGTTTTTACGCTGATCCCTGGGTTGATCTATCCGATTACTCTAAAAGTGGTACTTGGGACATTGTTGAAGTTCCCGGAGTTCTCAATGTTTACAACAATAGTAAATACTCCAAGCCAACTGAAACTGATATAACATTTCACATAACCATTAGAAGGAAAACGCTCTTTTACACTGTTAATCTTATTTTACCAACATTGCTCATCTCATTCCTATGCATACTCGTCTTTTATCTGCCAGCAGAAGCCGGTAAGTTGGTCAAACTTTTACTCATCAGAATTGCCAAACAAAAAAAAATGAATCAAAGTTGCTTCAAACTCGAAACTGAAATTGAAAAGCTTTTCTAATGATTTCTTGTTAATGAAATTTACTTTTTTCTCTCGAAAATTTCATGAATTTTCGCAACTTTTACAGGAGAAAAAGTAACTCTGGGCATTTCAATTTTACTATCGTTGGTTGTGTTCTTGCTGTTGGTCTCCAAAATACTGCCTCCAACATCACTAGTTCTTCCCTTGATAGCCAAATATTTACTATTTACCTTTATTATGAACTGTATTACCATATTGGTTACCGTTGTCATTATTAATTGGAACTTTCGAGGTCCTCGAACTCATCGAATGCCCATCTGGATTCGCATTGTTTTCCTCAAATACCTTCCAATGCTTCTTTACATGAAGCGGCCCAAGCGAACCCGATTGAGATGGATGATGGATATGCCTTCACTTGGTGTCCACTATCACCCGTCCCGTGGTCCACCGCCAAGAGGTTTCAATGCAGCTTCAACTCAACAACCTTATCAACCTCATCACAGTCACCATCATCATCATCACCATCACCACCATCATCGCCATTCAGCCCACCAGGAAGGTTCAACCGAAGGTGACCAAGTAAACCATTCACATTCCCTCAACCGAATGTCACCTTCATCAGTAAACATACCCTCACCTGCAGGGTCAAACGGAGAGTCGAGTCACTTGCACCATTACCGTCACAACTCGCTTCACCATAAACTTGGTCACCATCAACACACGAACCAACCCTTACCTCTTGGAGTTTCAAAAAACGATGTAGAAAGTATGGAAATGTCTGACCTTGGTGGACCAACTGCTCACCACCATTTAATCCGCTCAACACCCTCACCCATCCCACCTCCCATGCCACCTTCAATGGCATCCCCTGATGAACACAACATTAATCAAAGTGAATACGAACCGTATCGAAGTTCACCAAGTCACACTCCACCTACAAACCTAAACTATCGTCCAAATTACCCAAGTGATGCTGATAGATCTTCCAATTTACCTCCACCATTGAGTGAACCCTATCATCACCCGACCCACCACAGCCATCATCACCTGTACCATCATCATAATCATCATCAAATTCACCAACAACATGCTCAACAACCTCAACATGCTCAACACTCAACCAATAATCGTAGTAAATCGTATGATAGAGAAACATCTTTAGACAATCAAAGCATCGACATGATCTGTCTAAGCTCAGCAGCTTCAAAAGCAACCGAAGCCATTGAGTTTATTGCAGAACATTTAAGAGCAGAAGATGAATATATTCAGGTAAAGAACTTTTTCATTTCTTGTCGAGAGAAGATTGAAAATTCTGTTGCAGAAGAAAAATCTTCTCCCTTCCAAGTCAATTGTTGATTGCTAATAATTTTCCATTTTCTGTTCAAATTTTTCCCCAGATTCGAGAAGATTGGAAATATGTTGCCATGGTTATTGATCGATTACAATTATACATATTCTTTCTTGGAACCTTGACTGGAACTTTGGCAATTCTTTTGGATGCTCCACACATATTTGAATACGTTGATCAAGACGCCGTCATTGCTAATCACACATCCAAAACTTTAGCCTAAGGAAACCTTTTGTCGATACAAAAATTTACTGTTGACTTCTTTTCAACGCAACAACCAACATCTTTTTTTATACTTACATGTCCAAAACTTATAGTTGAAACAATGAAAAAAAAGTTCAAAAGTGATAACGAATAAAAAACGGAGAAAAAATGTTCTTATCGGCATTTATTGTTAAATCTTATTAATCATTGTTTTTTTACATTTGCATTGAAATACAAAGAGAAATGATTGGAAAAATTTATTTTCATTTACACAGTTTGTTGACTCAACGATAGTTATCGAGGTTAAACCAGTTTCTGCATTTGCTGAGCCAAATGATCAATTGGTATTTCATTGTCATAGAGGGAAGGTGCTCTCAGTATGATTACACAAGTTCCAATAATACAGCTCAGAGTAAATATCCAAAGAAATAGTCGGTCCAGAACCATGGCAACATATTTCCAATCTTCGATAACCTTGATGAGAAAAGTTGGAAATGAGAAAAAAAAGAATATTCAATATAAAATTGATAAACTCGATATAGAGTAAAGTCGATTAGAACCATCAGAAAACTGAGACTTTTGCGAGTTCGTTCGAGATTCTTCTTACATTTTTCTCCCTGTCCTCTTCCTTGAGATGATTGGCAATGTGCAAAATGCTCTCAATGGCTCTTTGTAGTTCCTCAGAAAAGAGTGAAGGTGAAGAGTTTGGACAAAGCTGATCAGGTTGCCCTTTGCAAGACCAATTAATTTGATTGTTGCTCGAGTTGAATAGACTGGGTCCAAAGATTCGTCCCTCCATTGGTGCATCAAGAATGTCTGTATTGACAGGTAACCCTGCAATATCACCTAAACAATCGTAACTTTCATACCCTTTTCATACGAGAGAAGAAGAAAAAGAATGCAAATGAAATTTCCATGAAAATTCAAAGTCAGTGTCAAGAGACGAAATTTACATTTCATCATTTGAAAAGTTGGTTAACGAGTAAACTTCAGCATTTTTTTCATGCTTCTGCATCAGATTAACTCTTGTGTTCATTTTAAGCTCATAATTCAAAGTCAAAATTTGATTTTCTCGGGAAAAGGTAAACACTTTTTTCAACTTACATTGATTATCTGGTGCAACTCGTTCAGTAATGTTTCCTCGGTCACCTTCGCATGTATAAATGATTCGAGAAGTTCCAGAAACAGCTAAAGATAATGATGATATAAATGAAGATGTTGGTTACTTTTGATGAGGAAAAGGCATTTCATCAATCGTACTCTTGGGCAAAGTTGAACCTTGCAATATTTTCTCGTCATTAATTTGCTACTCGGTAAAAGTTCATTTATTTCAAGTTACACTTCGAAGACTGGTAATGCAAATGAATATTAGTAAAATTGATAAAATGAATATAGATGGAAATGCTTTCCAAATTATGTTGCTCATGATTCATGATTAACATTTGTGTTGATGAAGCAAATTCTTGATGTAATACTTTGAATTTAAAGTTACTTTTTAGTTTCAACTTTTTTGCTTTACTTACTTGCAAGCTCTTTGGCCAAGTCATGAGTTGTTGGTCTTTTGATGCACAAAATTTTGGGCAAAAATTCAATGAAAACATGCTTAACCCAGGGTGACATGACGTGAGTCGATGGTGAACGGAAGTGAACATTGAGAACACAAACAGTAAAACAAATTGATAGAGTGATGAGAAGCATGGTAAAGAGCAGATATTTGCCCAGAAGGGGAACTGCAAGGGATGTTGGTGGAATAATTTCCGCCAAGAGAAGAAAGAAGACGGTTAAAGAGACTAGAATTGAGATGCTCAGAGTAACCTTTTCACCGGAATCAGAGGGAAGGTAAAAGACGAGGAGAGTTAGAAAAGAGATTCCAACAACCGGAATAATCAAATTAACAGTGTAAAATAGTGTCTTCCGTCTCATGGTTATGTTGAAGGTAATGTGTGGAAATGGCTCTGGGCAACAATCATAATATTCATTCTCATAGCGAGCAGGGACTTTCATCAGATCCCATTCCACTGATTGGTAAAACTCGGAAAGGTCCACACCACGGTCAACTTGGACCGATCCTTCAACCTGATCCAGATGACGAAGGTCAACCTATTGACAAGATTTGATGGAAAAGACAAAAGTTTCAACTTTTATTTCCTTTAAAGGTAAAAATGTAAAGAAAAGCAAATTTTCAACTTTAATCAAATTACACTTTGAATCAATTTCAACTTTCGAAATACTCTTTTCCATGAAGAGTAAAAACTCTGTAAAAAACTGACAAAATTTTCTGAATAAATTTAATTTCAATTTTTTCGATAAATTGAAAAATAATCTCAACAAGCGTAAGGAATATGAAACCAAAAGCCGAAAATTGCAAGCAAAGTTTCATTGAGTTTAAATTTGGAAATGAATTGAATTTCAAACGTTTTCTTGTCAACTTGCACAAGTAAAATTTCAAGTCGTTTGATCATCTTTTTCAAAAGAAACTCTTGAATGGGAAATAATTTCTTTTTGCAGACAAATAGTGAAAAGAAGTTGGACTAATTTGGAAATTTAATTGATTCAATTGTATCAAATTTCAATGATACCAGTTGTTCGATATTACTTTGTGTACTTTTATTATCTACATATGAACACTTGAAGACGATTGAGTTGAAGTGAAACAAGTTAATATTATAATATAGAATGAGCTTTGGAAATTGAAATCAGAAAGAAAATGTTTATTGTAGAAACATTTTTCTTTTCCTTCTAAAGATAAATTAAAGGTTTAAATGGAATAAGGAAAGAGAGGAAATCTGAGAAAATTAATATTTCTGTTTAGGTGAGGAGCAAAGTTAATCATGTGTAATCAAGCTTGCACTAAATGAAATGTTCAATGTGCAACATTATGCAGGAGGTAGAGAAAAATGTCAATTGAAATGAACTTTTTTCTTCTTTTTCTTAATTCTTCAGTTTGAAACTCTTTTTTTGCAGGGTTTTTTTCATTTATACTTTTTGTTCCAATTTTTCAATGGAAAACAATTTCCCACTTTTCTTGCATTGTATAATTAAACATGTTATCGTTGTTGTTGCCATAATTAAAAAGTGTCAAGTAAATTGAGCAAATTAAATTATCAATTGAATTCATTTTGAGAGGGCAGAATGAACGAAAAAAAATTTTCTAGAAAAGTTTGAGTTCATGTTGAAATTGAGTTTTCAAGACATGAAAAGATTTCTGTTGCGTTCAGACGAAGCTTTTCAATATGAGATGAATTTTGACGGGTGAAACATAAAAATGAAGCCGACGCTGAGAAAAGCCTTTACAACATGAGGTTAGTTAGACTTTGACTGCAACCTAGAAAATTCAATTTCTTATTCACATCGAGACTAACCATCACCTAAACAAAAGTTGTCGGTTTGATGTTAGTCAAAAATGTACAAATTTTTTCGTCCACTTTTATGCTGAACATTGACAACTTGGGTAATCTTTCAAATCCTTGTTCTTTATGCACATTAATCATTCAATTGGATCACAATTGAAATACCTTTTGTTTTCATACTTTTGTCGCTTTTGCTACTCTTTCAACTGCAATTACATTTCACTTTAAAAACCACACACTTGAAACGACAAAACTTTTCTGTTTCCCATCTCACCTAGAAACTTGTTCATTCACTCATTGTCTTATTGCCTCTGTCACTTTTGACGTTGCATCAAACTGCAAAGTAAACCTTTTTTTACTCTCCTAGAAGTCAAATCATTCAAGTTCAATATAATATTTCATTTATTGTTGCCAATTGTCATACATATTCACCGTCAAAATGAATTCAAACTTTTGGAGAAAAAAGTTATTCGTCAAAAGTAAACCAAAAAATCTTTGCTTATGGTGCAATTCATTTTTCATAGTTTGTTTTCAACTTTTTTTTCTTCCTGTCAATTCTTTGGTTTCACTTTTAAACTCATTTTCATGTCAAAACATTGATCTGAATTACCTTTTCTGCAATACTTTCCATGTATCAGAACAGTTCAAATTTGAAACAAACAGCAACAGACAAAAAGATTAGAAGAAAAGTTCAACACTGTTTATCTCTTTTCAATATTGAATCAAGGTGAATCTTTACGCTAATTCATGTCAATGTTGAGTAAATCATTTTTAAAACCTTTTGCTTTTTAGAAGCAGCCATAATGTCGGAAACTTGAGTAAACTTGAGTTAATTTCGTTGAAACGAAACCTCTGTTCTGCTCTCAAAAATTCTTGATACCACAAGATTTTGCAACCTCCAACAGATTAGGTTACCCATTTTCAATATCAAGCAATTATTATATTTTCATTTAGGCATTAGATTAGAAAGTCTAAACAAAATATTCTCGAATAGAAATAGCTAATAAAAAAAATGATCAGAAAAAAAACAAAATAACTTCAATAGTTTTTCACAAAGAGTCTGGTTATCAGAAAATTCATTTTTCAACGAAGTTTTATGACTTCGAGACTCGAATGCGTTTCGATAAATATTCAATACTTGTAACTTTGTTTAGTATTATATAACTTTTAACTTTAAAAGCATCTCAACTTAAACTTTTATTTTACAGGAAAATATCACACAATTTCGAACGTTCTTTGATAAAGTTGATATTATGAATTAAATCTTGTGCTTACCTCGTGACCATCATAAGTCCAAGAGCCAAATTTCATAAGGCATGATTGAACATCAAATGGAAACCATTCAACATCAATTTGACAAGTAACTTTATAAAGAGCTGGAGGTTCCCAGACAACTTCACCGGTATAATGGACTAAAGCTTTGGTTATCAGGGTTGGTTCAAAGTTGCCATCAGCACTGTAAAAGAGAGACAATAGTTTTGAGAAGAGATTATTGGAAGGTCAATGAATTTAGTGCAAGAACAATAGAAAATATTATGAGACAAAAATTCATAAATTACAGAAATAATCTGTTCTAAACTTCAAGAAACGTCGATTCGTTATAAAAAGCCATTTTTGTGCTAAATTTTTTTTCTCCTCATTTTGTTTCTCGTCATCACTTTGCTTACCATAATTGAGCGATAATTGAGTTTAACCATTCTCAGTTGGCAGATAACAAGGGATGACAAAGGAGTTGACATTGAATGATATCATCGATTGACTGAGGATTTTGATTTAAAAGGATAAAAACAGAATAATGAAAAGTAATAAAGTAATCGGATAGAAATGCTTTTTTAGGTTGCCAGATTATCGAGTACAAATTGAATTAAACTAACAATGGAAACATTTTGATAAATAAACATTAAACTTCAAAAGTGACACTTGATTTGTAATCAATGCAAGGTAATCCTTCTGTGAATGCACTGAATGTAACATGAGATTAGGCCAAATTCAACGAGAATTTTTCATTACAAAATTACTTTTTTTCGTCATATCAAATGATGATGTGAAGCGAATTTGAAACTTTGGAAATAATTATATTAGCAACGGCTTCATTTTCCTCCTGAAATTCAAGCTTTGCGATAGATTGAAAATAATTGAAAAATTCATCAGTCAATGCATATTCAGTTGATAATATTAGAGAAATGGTTCATTAATCAAAGTTGATTCTATTCAACAATTTCTGCTAATTTATTCTCAGCTTTTATCATCTTACTTTTTGATTCTCACCTCACAATTATGTGCTAAATTTATTCAATTTATTTAAGCAAGTAACGTAAGTAAATAATAAACACTTGAAAATGGCGAGCAAAACCAGTCACCAAGATTGACCAGCAAGAGAAAGGTTCATCAATAAAAGGAAATGAAACATTTGGAATGCAAAAACAAAAGATTACATTCATTACATTTACATATTGTTGAGAAAACGGATGGCAAATGTTTCAATTTAATCGGAACTGGAAATAAATTATCAATCTACTGAATTTCATAACCAAGTCAATCATTTAGAATCTTAGCATTTATTTAAAAAAATGTCAAAAGGCACGATATTTTAGCTTAATAAAATTGAGTTTCGAGAAAAAATATCAAGATTGTTATTAATTCAGTTCTAATACATCGAACATAACATTTTTTCGAATTGTTTACTGGCATAAGTTGAATCTCCAAAGGTTGTCACTGATAATTCTCAATCGATAAAATGACTAATTACTTGAGATAAAAAGATCAACTTAGGCTCAATTTTTAATATGTTTCTCTCTTGTTCGATATCTGTTTCAATCCGTTACCAAAATTTTCGTATCTCTTTGTAATACTTTCACCAAGAAAACTCACATTTCTACAATTCGGACTGAAAAAACGCAGTTAAAAAACAGATCTATTTGAAAAGATAAAAGACTCAATTTTGATTATTCTCTTTTCAACCTTTGTATAATTTAATTTGAGTCACCATCCAATCTGATCAAACAATAACTACAGTTCCCTTGATCAGTATATTTTATGACTGAATAAACCTTGATGGCATGTTAAAAAGTGTGTAAATATTTTACAAACGATGCAGCTTTTCCGTTTCCGAAAAGAAAATCGAGAATATTCATTATCTGATTGTTATTCAAGTTTTAAACACATGCAGATTCTTTATTGTCACACTGAATAAGAGACCATCCAACACTTTTCAAATTAAGTTTTTTTTATGATAATAAGTACCAAAATCGAGTGATCAAAATCACTTGTAAAAGCCTTTCATAGAAATCAAAATAACAATGTTCATTCAGACTGGAATGAGATAGAATAAATATCTATAGATTATGCTAGTCACTTTCTATTTCTTTCCTGACACTCCACATTTACCTTGCATTTGCATTATATATTAACTTCTGATACCAGACGTCTAGATTTCAGCCATGTGTCTAGTTAGACTTATAGCTAAGTCTAGTGTCTATTGAAAATTTGAAAGTAGCAATGAGAATTAGACTTTGAACAGCTCTGAACATAAACTTGTCCAGCCTTCAGCGCTGTTGATACTCTCTTGTCTCATTTGCAAAATCATTGCGCTGTTGTAAAACCAATAAACATAAAACCCGATAAAACTCAGTCCATTTGCAGTCTCTTCAAAACATAAGGTGAAAAGATCTTCAACTGCAAAAACTATAACATGGCTTAAAGTCAATAATTACTGGGAATTCAAATGTGATGACTGTTAACTCAGATTAACTGTGATTTCAATCGATGGACTGATTAAAGAAAGATTATTATCGAATCAAACTCTTCCATTCAATGGAAAACAATGGTTTAAACAATTTCGAGATCATCATTTAATTATGTTAATTCTTACTTATTGAATAAAATAAGATCAGGTTGCCAAATATTTTCTGCAGGAACATTCATTAGATTAACTCCACCGTAAGCCTCTGGATCCCAAGACAAATTGTAATCGTACCATTTCTTTTCAAGTGTAATTCGAGTTTTGCCAGGTTTGGTTCATGACCAGGATAATAGTGATGATAATAAGCGGCATAATTGGATTGATAAGTTTATTCCCAAAAGAAATGGAAAGTCATTTGATTCAACATGATACCAGCGATGATGAAAAAAAGTATTGAAAGGAATGAATAAAAAATGAAAAGGAGAAAAATTTGATTAGAAAAGACTGAAAAGGTAAAACTTTTTGCTGAATTATTGCATTATCTATTCATAATTGGGTGCAATTTATTTCCAGGCAAAAGTTTCTTTCGATGTCCATTCATTTTTCAACTTTTGTGACACTTTCAACATTGACGTTTAAATTTAAGACCAAGAAAAAGGTAAACGTTGAAATGGGAAAAGGCAACAATCAAAGTGATTAATGGTTGTCGAGTCTTGAATTACCTGAGGAATCCACATATTTGCTGAGAAAACTTGTTGCTTTAGATTCTGTTTGGGAATAAAAGATGAGAAAAGAAGAGAAAAAATGTATTTTCAGTAAATTCCAATTGTATTAATCATGATAGCAATTTTTGTGTTTCTTTTCTTTCTTTTCGCCTTTATTCTTGTTCATCTTCATTTCCTTGTAAATAATGTGATTGCTATCAAAACTGTTTTTTTTGCTTCACTCTTTTATTACTTCTCACTTGATGTAAAATGATTTCATGAGATTACCATGATTATGTGAGCAAGAAATGAAAATGTTGATCTTTTTACTCTTTCAATCACATTTGTTGATCGAAAAGTTTCCCAACTCAACTTACCAACTCCAATATTTGGGTCAATTTCAATCCCAATCGAACGACAACAGTTTCGTTTACTTTTTTCCTTGGGGTCACCATTTTGTTGTATCCATTCATTAAATCATCATATAAACGTTTTGCATCGGGATTTGGTGAAACCAGCTCAAACAATGTTATAAAAATTAGTCCAAGAAAAGAACCTTTTGAAAAATTGATCGAATTCATGATCGGGTGAAAATTTATTTACAACTTCGATGACTTCCAAGTTCAAAGAGCACCGCAAATTTCTATTGTAAAGAGGAGAAAATGATAGAAATGTTATTAAAATTCTCTGTTTGTCTTTTATGAATGGTTTAAATGGCAAAATTTTGACAAATTTTTCAGAATCGAAGGTCATGTTCGCTATAATTTTACCAAACGATTCTTCTTAACGCTAGTTTTTTCTTTGCAAAATCTTTTCACTTTTGAATCTCGCTTTTTTCTCCAAATTCGTTAATTTAGTATTTTTGCAGAGAAATCGATCAAAATTCAAGCAAAATCTTTTTACCAAGCCATTGCATAGTTAACTGTCCTGAGACAGATAAAACACTGTTAAGTTACTATCTGGGTCTTGGGATCAGGGAAAAGTTTTGCCTAATTTCTAATGAATTTTCATTAAGCTGTTAAAATCAAAAAGTTGGAAAAAGAAAATTATTCAGTTTTAAAATTACTCAACTCTATCGGCTGAATTATAGCCATCAATGGATCGCTCCAATGCTTTTAACGATAACGAGAAAAATTAAAAACCAAGAAAATATCGAAGTTTAAAAGACGATTCGGAAGTCTTTTAAATATTCTGCAAAAATAAGCAATCTAAATAAGCTTTCATGTATTTCCTCAAGTCATCTCAATTGAAGCGAAAAATGAACTGAAAAAACTCTTGAATTTTCAAAGTGTTTTAACACATGACGCAACTGCGCTAAACAGCAAAAGTTCAAGATGCAAAACTTGCAAAAATAACAAAAATAACGAAATGTTTTTAAAAACAAAAGTCGTTTTTCGGCATTGATAACACTTGAATATTCATTCAATGTTTTCAGCCAAACACGAGATTCAATTGACGCGAAATTTTAGCTTAAATTTTTTATCTTGTTTCATGTTCAATTTCACTTTAAATGTTCAATGAAAGATTTGAAAAAAGATGAGCAAAATTGGACGAGTTTACTTACCGTCTAAAGATGTCATCAGAGGGCGTTCAAGTTGAATGATATAAAACTGATGATGACTCAAGTGGCAAGCTTTAAAGGTATGCTGGGCCAAGTGATGAACATTTAGTGGGACTATTTAGGCAACACTTGCACCGAACCATTGGCAATCATTTTGTTTTCACTTGTTTTTCATTTCAACATTTAACTAGAGACACTGAATTAAAACAATTTTTTTCAATCAACTTTATCGACTCGAGGATATTAATGAAACCTGTGATTCAACTTTTTTGGGCAGCTTAGCTATTTGAACATTTTCATGCTTCTTTCATTCCCTCATTTTGTTTCTCAATTTTTTTGCTTCTTGCGCGATGATGCGCTCTAACCAACTATTGATCCATTCACTTCTAGACTTGCTTTACTTTCTTCATCTCTCATCATCTCGACACTTGCCTTTGTGAGACTGTCTTGAAACCAACACATGTTACATCCTGTTATAAATCTCATGTTGAACCAACTAACTCCCTCTACTTGAGTTGCAGCCTTGATCATGGTGATGATCAATCCACGAAACTATGCTAACTCAAGTTCAATAATGGAATGAAAAGGAGAATAAAATTTCCAATATTTACAGCTTTTCAGCTTTTTTTATTTATTTTTTTCTTTTCTTTAACAAAACTTTAATAGCGCATTCTTTGAGCAATTTTACTGTACAGTACATCAATTGGTCTTCGTCTATCATAAAGACTTGGAGCTTGAGCGATTATACCAACAGTACCAACAATACAAGATATAGCAAAAATCCACAACAATAAACGATCTAGAACCATCGCAACGAACTTCCAATCTTCTTCAACCTGAGCAAGGAAAAAAGAGAAAAATTTTAGCTTCATTCGAATTCGAAGTTTAGTCGGCTTTTCTTGACCGAAATGCAATTTGAAATATAAAACTTGAAACTGAATTTTAGATTGTTCAAGATAAACAGTTTCGTCTTTTTGTTTAGGAAAGATTTTACTTTGCAAAGTGGACTTTTGGAACTGCAGTTTGATTGATCTAAAATGGTCAGCATTTTCAACCGATAAGCTTTAGCAATTTTTACCTCATAATAACTGTCCAAGTTGTCCATGTGTTGAGCGACAAATTGTATGCTGATGAGTGCTTGATGGAAAGAGGAACGTGCCTTGGCTCGGTGAGTCAACATTGGCTCAACCGCTTCATTGGTACAATCGTTATTCAATAAGTCTAACTGTGTATTAAAATAGTCACTGTTTTCATTACCATTTACTGCCTCAGTGTAAGCAGGTAAAGTTGACGGTGGATCAGCAAGAGGCGAAGGAGAGACAAGAAAAGGTGAAGCCAAATCGGGTTGACTGGGAAGGGACAAGGGATGACAAGGTTGTTGGGCAAGAGTATGATGACTGGCCATCAAGGATGGTGGAGGCAAGGGTACCAATGGTGTTATCGCAAGTGAATGTTGAACTCTATAATGAGGTTCATACGGTTGATTTATTGGTTCCTTGTTTATATCATGATTATTATCAACTGTATTGTTGCTCGTCTCTGAAAGTGGTGATGGGAAACAGTCTTCAGGTCTATTGATGCAGTTGCTTGTTGCATACAAATTTGAATGATCTATTGAGACGAAAAGATGGAAAAAGAAGATGAAAAGAAATGGAAAAAAAGAAATGAAGAAGAAAAAGAATAAGTAAATAAACATGAAAAGAAAATGAAAGTGAATAAAGATTAGTTATTTAGAGTAAAACTTGGAACAGTAAATAATATAGACAATTTGAAAAGGGGACCAAAAAAGTAAATAATAATCATTCATGTTCAACGTAAATATAATATTCTTGAGTCATTTGATTTGGCTTTAGGAATGATTGCCATGAAATTGTGTAAAGAATGGAAAAAGTTACCATTTAAAGTTGAACTTTCCTTTTCCTTCTTCTTGGGTCTCTTCATTTTCAAAATTTTGGGCAGCAAATTAAGGAAAACCTTTTTTACCCAAGGGGCCATTCGGTGGGTTGATGGTGACCGGAAGTTTATATTGAGCACCAGAATGGTGAGACAAACGGAAAGTGTTACCAAGCTTAAAGTGAACAAAAGGTAACGTCCAAGAAGTGGAATCCCAAGGGATGTTGGAGGTAGAATTTCAGATAAAAGAAGGAAAAAGACGACCAGGGAGAGAAGAATGGAAATGCTCAGTGATATCTGAATTGAAGACAAAGAAATGAGAATTAATTTTATTCCTTTTCTCACTTTTCACCTTGCAATTGAAAACCATTTCAAGGAACAAACCTTTTCTCCTGAATCTGAGGGAAGATAAAAAACAAATACGCAAAGTCCAGAGATGGCGATAACAGGTATAATTAGGTTAACAGTATAGAAAAGGGTTTTTCGGCGAAGAGTGATATTGAAACGAATATCAATGTAAGGATTGGAACAGCATGAATAGTAAATTTCATTACGACTAGCAGGAACATCCATAATGTCCCATTCAACAGAGAGATAGAATCTAGACAAATCCATTCCAATTGGAATCTCGGATGAACCATCTTTTTGGTTAATGTGTTTAAAATCAATCTGGTGTTGATTGGTCCAAGGTTGAGAAGTGAAAATAAACAGAAATTTTTTTTATTGATTTACTTTCTTTAAATATTGAACTTGAAGGTAATGCTTTTGTAATGATTTGATGCAAAAAAAGCTAAAGGGTTTGCATCAGAAATAATTATCTGTACAAGTGAAACAAAACGGAAACGTCAAAATCATTTAGACGAAAAGAAATGGCCGTTTTTTCATTCCATATGCAGTAACTTGATAGGTTTACATGGAGTGAAGAAAAAAATGCCTAGTCGAATGTGTGAATAATGTGAATAAATGGTGATAAATTATGGCAAGATATTCATCAATGTCATCTTGAATTTAACATAATCTAGTCAGATGAGATTAACTCAAATTAACTCAATGAAAATGGCCTTTTATTTCACCTCAATCTGCATGAATAACAGCTAATGAAACACTTTTTTATGCTAAACTGGAACACCAGTGTTAAATATTTTCTTACTATGATTTGTACCTTGCGATTCAAAAACATGTAAATGAGAAAATCGAAAATAACTTTTTGAGAATTTTTTGAACTTTTTTTAAACAAAAAATATTCTCATGAATGTGTAAGCTGAGTAATTTGAAGAATTTTTCTTTTCGATATTCATTCATTAAACCAGAAATTGGAGAAACTCGTCTCGAATTTCTCAGACTAGGATCAGAATATGGTTTTTTTGGTGAAAATTGAGCTTGCAATTTTTTATCTTTTTGGTGTCCATGCAAATGGAAACTGGAGTAAATAGTTTTGCATGTTGATAAAAATAGAAATGTAAAACTCTTTTTTTAGTTATTATTGAATATTTTACTCACCAGTAGACCGTCATAGGTCCAAATACCAAATTTCATTTGACAAGTTTGCTCATCAAAGGGAAAATATTCAACATCAATTGTACATGAGCTTTTAAAAATTGCTGGAGGCTTCCAACTAACTTTACCATCACTAGTTACAAGAGCTTTAGTTAATTTAGTTATAACATAATCACCATCTGCACTGCAAGGTAATAAGAGTAATAAAAATAATAATGATAATGAGTCTATTAATAGTTGTAAGATAATAATTGAATGATTGAATGGGAAGTAAATGGAAATGAAAAGAGGTCCAAAGGAACGGAAAAGGTTGTCCAACATAGCAGAGAAGGTTGACTTGAGCTTAAGGTCTCTAGGTTGCAATTGAGAGGATCATTTGCCTAACTCTACGTAACTCACGAACTTCATTTAAAGCAACGAAACTTGAAGTTTTGTCTTTTGTGGCAATTTCAATTCTGATCCAACTCATTGATTTGAACTAATCGACTATGACTATTCATTTGTTTAATAAATGATTCGATAACGAAAACGAAAAAAAATGAACTCCGAACTTGTTCAAAGCTTATGAACATATTAATTCAAGATCAGAGTTTAAACTTACTTGTTGTATAAAACAATATCAGGAAGCCAAATTTGTTCAGCAGGTAAGTGCAATTTTTTAACACCTCTATACTCTTCAGGGTCCCAACGAAGATTCATATCATACCATTCTTGATGAACCCAAACGTTACTTGACATTATTTGATTTTTCAAATTCTGTGCAACAGCGAATATGCAATAATAAAATTTTGACGAAACGAATCAAAATATTTGATTGATAGGGAATGTACAGGGAGTGATAAAACAGGGAGTTTATAACAGGTAGATAAAATAAACAATTGATAAAAATTTCAACTTACAATATCAATTATCTGTGATAAAACGAGACCCATTTTAACTAGTAATTTATCTGAAAAATTACCAACCGGACGGTAGAGTGCATTATAATTGTTCATTAAATCTTCAAAAAGTCGTTGTTCATCTGGATTTGAATTAACCTTGAAGGGCAAGTAAAACCAAACCATAAAACGGCACAAATTAAAAGACAGGCTAACCAGTTGGCACGTAGGTTTCAGCATGATGAAGGGTAAAACGTTGAACCATTAATCACATGGAAGTAGAACTTTCAAAGCCAAAACTGAAGTAAAACCGAGAAAATATCAATTCGATTTTGTTGAGCATTGACCAATTGATCATTAGTTGAACTCGACATTTTCAAAACAATTTCATCACAACAGCTTGCGAAACTGAAGAAACCAGGAAAACGAAAAAAAAATTGAACTCAAACCAACTTGGATTCTCTACTTATTGCTCGTTAATTCATCATTTTTCACTTGAAAGATAATGGGTTGATAAACATGATAATCATGATAATCATGTGTGTTGTTGTTGATAGAGATAATAAGGTTTGCAAAATTTGGGCACAAAATTGAAAGGAATGTGACAAAAGTGGAGAAAGAGTGGCGAAAGTAGCGAAAGGGTAGAAATTGTTTTTTTGGAGCAAAAAAATTGAAGATATTTTTCCTCTGTATTAAGGGAAAAAGGCAATAGAACAACAAAGAAAGAAGTTGAGGCGAAAAAAAGAAGCAGAGAGAAAGAAAAGTGAAAGAAGGCGTGTGAGAAGTGAGCAGAGAAGACGAAGAGAGAGAAAGAAAGAAAAGTAAGAAGAAAAAAGATGAAGATAACAGGGAAGATGAGGATGCTAACAGGGAGTAAAGCTTGTTACATGCGTGGATATATTGCTTCATGTAAACTGTTCACTAGTAAAAATGTTGCCTACTAGAATCTATTGAAGTTTCAGCTTTTCTTTCAAAAACTTTTTTTCCTTCCCTTCTCAGTGTGTTTACCATGCAAGTGTACCATGTGTGTGTGTGCCTCTCTGTGTGTGCTGTGTGAGACTTGGTGTTTATAGAGGTTGATAATGCTTGACTAAAGCCGATCGATTTCCTTTTTGCTCATCTTTTGCCTTTTCTTTCTTTCCTCAACATTTCCATCTCCCTCATCATTCATGTTTCTCCCTTTTCATCATCATCATCATCTTTCCCTTTCATGATTCCCTTTCTTTTTCCCTCTTCTTTTTTTTCTTCTCGTCATCATTATTCTTTCTTCATATTTACAGTCATTGGTAATACTTTTTGTCGCCATCTATTGATACATCAAATGTAAATCATTAATTGAACTCTAATGAAATTGTTAAACATCGATCTTGAAAAGTCTCGAAAATTTCGTTTCGTTCAACTTTACCTTTTAATTTTCATGTTCCAATATTTTGCACACTTTTCCTCATGAAACCAACTTGACTTGTGCTCATCTTAGTGTTTGGTGAAATTGATTTGTGTGGAAATGTCAGCACCGGCTACTTTGCATTTCAAGTTTAACGAGCTTTGCTTGTTTAAAGAACTGTCCAAGCTGACAAGTCCATGTTCTGGATGGAAACTTTTACTCTACTATTTGCTCCTGTCACAACTGTCATTCCCTGAAATACAAGGAAATCCGGATGCAAAGAGATTATATGATGACCTTATGAGTGGCTATAATCGTATAATAACACCTCGAATAGAACCAAACGCAACTGTTCGTGTTAGTCTTGGACTCAAGTTGACACAAATCATTGATCTGGTAAGTTGAAGCTGAAAAGTGTGGAAATTTAAACAACAGAATCAAAGTTCCTAAAGATTCTAAATCAATATGAAGAATTCGAAACACAAATTTTATTTGAAATATTCGGAAACTTTGTTCGAATCAGAATTACTCAGCTCTTTAAATGTGTATGAATAATTGTATAAAACTTGAGTTCTGTAAATCTATTAGAATTTGAAAAGTCGAAAAAATGAAAAAAGTTGTTATTGCATTTGAAGGTTTACAAGTGCAAAGCTTTAGACAGACAATGATTATCATCGATGAATGGGAAAAACTGATGAATAAATTTAACTGAGCAACAGTTGAATCCTAATTTTGAACTTGCAATTGTGGAAAACATTTCGACTTTTGAAAAGAAAAAATTTTCGAAGAAGGACAAAAACATGAAAAGAAAATCATTGAATTGATTGTTTTCCAACCATTTAAACGTTTGAAGCCGAAACTCTCGAGAAACTGAACCGCACAGAAGATGAAGACAAACCAAAATCATGATAACAAGAAAAATAATAATAGTAATAATAGAAAGAAAAACCGGAAAGATTATATGTATTATTCAACAAGAGTCGTTGAGACAATTTGCCATCATTGAAGATAAAAGAAGTGAATCAATTGGAATGAAGAAAAGAAAAGGAGAGAAACAAAAGTTCCGGAGAAGCAAAAAGAAGAGCAAAAAATGTTGAGCAAAAAAAGAGGCTAAAAATGAAAAGCTGGGAGTGAGAAGAGAAAAAAATCTGATAATATGATAACATGGAATTCGTTGAAAGGAATGATTGTCTGATAAATATTGATATAGTCAAGTATTGATAAAAAGTAATCAAAAAGAATCTCAGATGATATTGAATAATGTTGGAGAATCGCGAAAGAATCAAAAAAACTGGCCAAACAATTGCATTATTCTGAGCAAATTTCTTGGCAAAACTCGAACAATGAAAGGTGACATCCAAGGTAAAGTCGAGTCTCGACTATTCCAACATTTTGATATCTTCTAATGAATGTAAATACTTTTCATTGTTGACTTCGTTTGGATCGAAATTTCTCTACATTTTTCATCAACCTTCAGATGCATTTATCGACAACTTTTTTCTTCTCATTTTTGCTCTTCTTTTCATCTCTTAACTACATGATATACAATATGACCCAAAGGAGACGTTCAATCTTTTCTGTTTCTCTTTTTCTGTTTATTCCTGTTTTTCGGTTGTTTCACATGATTCACTTTCACCAAACCGCTAAATTTTTTTTATTTCCTTTTGTTTACAAATCTCTACTTTTTTCCAGCTCGAGTTTACTGGGAAAATTCATTACCTTCATCATTGATTGATCAATATTTTCAAGTTTACTTTTCTTTTCTTCTTCTATTGCCTTTCCATTTTGATGTTTACCTGATCTCATGTCTTTGGATTGATTCTTTCATTGAAATTTTCTCTTTCGGATTCTCTCTTGGATTCCCTTTTCAATTGGGTTCATTCAGAATTTGAAGCAACAAATCTTAACAGCAAACATGTGGGTACTTCAGGTAAATATTGTTCAAAACAAGAGCTTTCACTTTTCCGTAAATGAAAATCACTGTTAACCAAAAGTTTGGTCAAAAACTCTTTACGAGAATCGAGGATCAAATTAAATCTCAATGTAATAACATTTATTGGCAAAGCTTTTGCGATTGTCGTTCAAATTAATAACTTGAATAGAATGGATTAAAGGTAAAATTGAAACAATTCAAGTTTACCATTTCAAGGGCTCTTCAACTTGCATCGGCACTTATTTTCATTCCCTTAATGATTCTCCAAGTTCATTCAACAATTTGCTAAGACAAAGCAGATTGAAATCTCAATTTGAAATGAAAAGATTGATGAAGATGAAATCTTTAACTCGAAATGCTTTTCGTTCAAAAACTCGGAAAATTGCAAAATTTGTCTTCAAGAGCATTTCAAAATTGCTTCAAAAGACTAATTTCAATCTCATTGTCCTTGTTTCCATTCCTTTGGAATAAAAAGAGGAATTCATTTTTCATGTCTTTCTACACCTGTTAATATCATGTAAATATCAAGTTATCATCGATCGAGTCGATTTTATTTTAAACTTTTGAAGCTTTGAATCTTTTTTAATGTCACAGTCTTTTACTTTACCATCAAAGACGCAATCAAATTTAGATTTGACATTTTCTCAGTCTTTTGTTTTTCCAACGACAGAAAGTTCAATGTAAAGAAACTCAATTGTGTCTGAAAAGAAATTATCACGAATTAATCTTTCAAAATGAAGTTGAAAAATAACAGATTAACCTAGACCAGTCTTAAGGGTTTACCTTAAGCTGAAGGATCAACATTTTCTCGGTTGAAATAAAAGGTTAAGTCAAGAATAAAAGTCTATAAGTCTATTCTTAGTAAGTAAAATTTATTAGTTGCAGGTTTGCATAAGAATCACTTTCGTTTAATACAACATTTCTCAATGAACAAAAGCATTGGATTCGAATTTTTCAAAACTTCGTTTCATTCCGAGATATTTAAACTGTCATTTACGAAGAAGCTTACATTTGCGACCCTTGAAACTATCAGATTACTGAGCATCTGATAAATTGGAGTCGCTTTCATTTTCTGCAGACATTCAGTGTAACTTGATTAATCATTTGGTTGAACAAAAAAATAAAGCAATTTATTCAATCCAATTCTTATCAGATTCATTTCTTTTCTTTTCGTTAAACTTGGTTCAGCAATAAAAGGTGTTAATGGTTTTCAAATGTATCCAAATGCTTTCGATTGATTAATTGACTGAAAATTTCATAAACTGTGTTCACTGGGAAAGAAGGCAATGAATAAATTAACTTTACCTAATAATGGTTTAAATGTATTAATTGTTGGACTTTGCATAAATTTTCTCTGCTCATTTGGCTTCACTTTGAAAGGTTAATTTCGTTGTTGGAAGCAAGTTGAACCTCTTTGGCTACGAATTGAAATGCTTAGTCAATACAAGTATGAAACTGAATGGAATGATAAATGTTCAATTTTTTCAGCCTTCCTTTCCTTTTGCAATTCAATTACAACAGTTTTCAGTTCAACATTCAAGTTATAAAAGGGAAAAATGAAGATGTTTAAAAGTTGATTTAAAATGCAAATTTGCAATTCTTGTTGTTAAACTGAGCGCAAATTGAAGGTGAGCTGACAGGATAAAAGTGAAACAAGGAAAAAGATTAAGACGGTTAATTGAAACAATTCAATCAGATGAATGATTAATAAAAAGTTAATTTGATGCAAGTTGCTGAGGAGGATTTAAAGAAGCAAAAAGTATTGATGGATGAATAAAGATTGATTGAGGTTGAAATGAAAAAGGTTGAGAAGATTAGCATTTGCAATTAACTTGATATTCAGGCGAAACTATCGATTCGATGGATAAATCTTTTCCTAATGAGTCGACAATTCAGTTAATTGTTGCTTTAAATCCACATCAGTTTAGAAATGCATCAACTGACTTAGCAAATTGTCTGCAGTTTATTATCAATTTTGCACGATTCAATGTTTAGCTATAAATGATTCCATTTTGTCCAAGTTTGTACAAAAATCAATTTATCGATTTACAGATTATCATGTTGAGCGATTATCGGAATAAACACAAATCAATTCTCATTCAGAAAGGATCGTTAGACAAGTTGCCTGACCATATTGTAAAGACGATCAACATTATTAGCAAATGATTAGCTATGCAATCGAACTGTGCAAAGAACAGAACTTTACTTTTGCTTCTTCGAAACCAAACTAAGAATGACCGATTTCGTTTTAGAAGCTTTAGAAGTCTGTTTCAATCTCTAATTTTATTTGCATTTACCGAAGTTTTCTGTTGTTGAACTTTTCTTTTCTGGTGTTCTTTGAAAATTGATGAAACTTTGATCATCTTCAACTGCATGATGACAGGTTATTCTGAGTTTTTCTGTAGAAAAGCAAAACAAGTTAATTCTCTTCCATCAATCAAGTCAACCTTTTCTATTCGATTTGATTTTGGTTTCACTTTCCTCTTTATTACATCTCCAACAATAAGAATGATAATATTATTAACTCTTAATCAATTTTACTTCAACATTCCCATGTTCATCATGATATTATTATTGCCTTTTCCATTCAACATTTCATTCACTTTTCTCTCTTTTCTTTTCTTCATCTTCTTCTTCATCTTTTGTCCTAAACTGATTGAACCTCCCAATATGGTTAAACAGGAATGGTTTGACCCAAAATTACGTTGGGATCCAGCCGAGTATGGTGGAGTTACAGAGGTTTACGTTCCAGCTGAACAAATTTGGCTTCCTGATCTTGTTTTGTACAATAAGTTAGTTATATTTCATTTCATTATTTCATTGCCTGCAATCAACTCGATTGCTTCAAGCCAGTAAATATGAGCCAATGATAACTTCCTTTTCCAATATTGAGCTCATTCCACTTGCATTGCACTTTATTCCCAACGAGTTGAACATTTTATTGTCGATCAAAAGAATCTGAAGTTTCTCAAAAATTGAGTTTCGTTCAATTATTAAACTCTTTGTCATTTCATTGTTTTCTTTGGTTAAAAAGACTAATGACAATTTTGATTTACTTTGACTAGTGTTGATGTTAATTTTTCTTGTCCTTTTGTAATACTCTTGGACTTGGATTGATGACAGCTTTAGACAGTTTAACCAGTCAATGAGATAATTAATTGAAACTATAAATGGCTGATGAAACCAACATTCAAGTTGATCATTCGTTTCATGCAAGTTTCACCACAAGTTTGCACCCATTTAATGTTGAATGTTCTCATATTAAACTGGACACGGCAATGAATTATTATACAATTTACCCGAGCAACAACCATTTATCATTCAAGTAATAGATTGGTAGACATTAAATCGTTATGTTTGCTCACTCTGCATTTAGTACAAGTTTAGTGTGTAATAAATAACTTCACATTTACTGCTATTACATTAGATTCTGATAAACTGTTTACCCATTCCGATTTATTTCATTATTACTTGATTGACTTTCTTCCTTTGTATTTCACTTCAAACAAATCAATTCATTTCTTTTAACTTTTCGTTTTTCTTTCCTTTCTCCTGTGGTCTTTAGCGCTGATGGTGCTTATGCCGTAACTATTATGACCAAAGCAATGATTCGATACAACGGCACCGTTTTATGGAGCCCACCGGCCATATTCAAAAGCTCTTGCTCAATCGATATTAGATATTTTCCTTTTGATACTCAAAGCTGTAAATGGTATTTTAGTTCGTGGACTTACGATGGGTACACGGTAAGTTTTTGTTTCCCACAAAGTAATGCAATAACTTCAACTTCAAGTTAGTCATCACTCTTCTAATAGCAACAATGGACTCAGTGTTGGTGTCCTCGAGTTCCTGCTCTTAACTCGAAAGAAAAAGTTGCTTGTGGCATTTCCCTTTCGCTTGAAAACAGATATTTTGAAGAGCGATTTTTTCTTATTTAGATTTTTTCTAAAGAATGATTCCCAGTTTAGTCTTGATTGCTATCTCTTTTGCTGACTTTCAGTAGAGTTCTGGTTTTCGAGAAAATTGCATGCTGATTATTTATCTGAGTAAAGGGAAAATTTTCTGTTGCAAATAATTCATCTCTTTAATGGACATGAAATTAGAAGAAGCGCATCTAAGATAGTCTGATGTGAAACTAGCATTTCAACTGGAGATTAGTTTCTCATTTGAAGCTATCCATTTTCATGACTTTCATGGAAACCCTTCATATTCTTTCTTTTCCTCCTCTTCCCTTCTGTTTCTTCATGTTAAAGTTTTTTTCTTGTTTTTCCTTCTTCTTTTCACATTCAATCGAATGATAATGGAATTTGTCGATTATTTGAATGGTCCATTTAATTTGATTCATCAGCTTGATTTACGTTTAATTGATGCAATTAATGGATCCAATTCATCTGTTGGAATTGATTTATCTGAATATTATCTCAACGTTGAATGGGATGTGATGGCAGTATCCGGTTTGGAGGAAGTAAAATCTTATCAATGCTGTGATGAACCATTTGTTGGTGTTCTCTTTAGCATGACAGTTCGAAGGAAAACTCTGTTCTACACTGTTAACCTGATAATCCCATGTATTGCCATATCATGTCTATCCATATTGGTATTTTATCTTCCCTCAGATTCAGGAGAAAAGGTGAGTTGATTAACTGTGACAATTGACATTGAAATAGTTCTGCAAGTTTCATTGTCGAATGAACGAGAAAAGAAGAAAATTGAATCGAAAAAAAAGTTCTTATGGAAAATGAACAAGCAAAGATTGAACAAAACTCATGCAAAGAGAAAAGTTGGAAATTCAAAGTTTCTCTCTTGGCTCATTTCAACAGGTCAAAGTGATTAACTTTTTCCTCATTACAATGTTAATCAAGTTTCCTATCCAATTTTATCGTACATTTGGGATGCAAAAAGCAGTCTCAAGTAGATGATCATAAATGAACCCAAATGATGCTAATAATAAGGTTTTGTGAAAGCTTCAAGATAAATGTTGAACTGGACAGTAAAGTGTAAGGTTTAATAAGCGAAAGAAATGAGATTTAATGCTTTTCTCTCGCAAAGACACATCAAGATAACGATCATTCTCGTCCTTTTCATCATCATCAACAAGAAAAATCTATTTTTTTGTCTTTCCATCTAAATGACAGGGAATGAAGAAAAGATAAACTTGAACGACTTTAAATGGTCAACAGGCAAAAGACGTTAAATGACAGGCAAGATTCAACATTAACACTTGCTTTATGTAGCAACTTTATTCAGTTTCACTGGGAAAAAAAGGTTCACATAAAAATTGATTATCGACCAAATTAACTTGTTCTGATTGATAAAAACTCAATCAAGTGACCACCTTCATGATCGCTCCTTCTCCTCACTCTTCATCATTCCTCTTTAACCAAGTTAAAATAAGCTATTTTTCTCTTCATTTTCTTTTTCTTCTTCTTTGTCAGAATCTTATTTCTAGACTTTCGCTCTTGTTTTCATTTTATTACTTCACAAGTATCAAGATGAATTTTGAAAGGAAAGAACAGAATGAATAACTGTAAATGTCATTCAGTTTAATGATATATATTTATAAATAAGTAGATTTTGTTCACTCTTTTTGCTTCCATTTTTTGGGTTCCTTTTTTTGCAGGGCTTTTTCCTCTCGTCTTGTTTTCACTTTTACTAGTTTATCGACTCTACTTTATTGTTCACTGAATGTGTCGAGGAAAAGGAAAGGAAGGAGAAAAGTTGAAGGAAAAAAAATGAAAAGTAAGTTTCAAGTGAAGATTCAATAACTCAAATTTTTACTCTTCAATGTTCAGTATCATTAGAAGTGGAAAAAGAGATGTCATTCAATTTTAGTCACAACTTTTTTCTCTATTTCATATTTTCATTCTCATCGAGCATCAATTGGTTCATTTTTTTCTTGTTTCTGTCTATTCTTTCCACTTCACTTCTGCCTTTCAGTTATTGTTCATCATTTTATATACGCTTTTCTAGCCTTTCGTTTGTATCACAATATTGCTAAGTAGATTTGAGTCTGAATGAAAGGTTGAGGAAAACAAATGGATTGGAAAATTTTGCTTCAATTAGTGACGAAATTGGAAGAAAAGGTTTAAACGAAGAAACGGAAAAATGCTATAAATTAGAAGAATGTGATTTATTCATGGCTTCTGAGTTCATTTATTACTGAAAAAATGATTCAATATGATTTATGTATCGAGTTTATCGATTTCTCACTGAAAGAAGTTGATCAAAATCGATTGGATAAAAAAAGAATAAAAAAATGTTCAGAAATTTCAAGTTGCCATTCAAGTTGGTAAAGTAGATATGAAAAGGTAGGAATTCACCAAAAAGAGATGCAAGTAGTACATTGATGAATATCGCTACGTGTATCGATTTCGCAGGATTCATCGATTAGTCTTTGGTGCTAAAGGTCAATTGTTGCTAAAGAAAATTGAAAGATATTCAAGATGAGTTTGATTAGTTAACCCGCTGAAAGACTATGTCTATGTTAAGATCTTTATTTTTTGCTTTGGAGCAAATTCATTGAGCAAAATTCGCATTTGAGTTTAATCCAATAATTTTCGAACAATTCAAATCGATTGTACTCAATGCAGCCCAAAATTAGTAAAGAAAGTTTGTTTTTTTCAAAAGCTTTTTCATTAGATTTGATTAAAATTATAAGAAATGACGGAAACGTGTTTGCTCGGAAATTATATTTATTTGGAGAATTATTCAATGTTTATAAAATCCAGATGAAACAATCTTCCAGCTCATCACTAGATATTTGAATTGAACCTTGAATTATGTATCAGCTAGTTCAATATTTAAAGAAACATAAACCTCAATGATTTGATAGCGAGTATAAAAGATGATCAGTTTTATTGACCTGACATAGTTTAATTTTTCATTTTTTTCGAGTTAGTTTGAAATAGTTGCAAAAAATATTTAAATTGTTACTCAAGAGTAAAGCAAAAAAACAAAATGCTGTTGATGCGAAAAGTGCGTTACGTGTTCATCATGACTTTCATTGTCATATGCGTTTCTCCACCGGAGCTTCATCCTTTGTTAAGAGAAACCAAAGAGTGATCAACATTGAGTTTTATGCCACTTATAGCATCAATTCGCATTGTTTTTTCAACGAATAACAATAATGATGAACCACAATAAAATTATTTGAACTTTAACTTTGTTAAAATTTCATTTTATTAATATCAATAAATCTTTTTAACTTTTGGATTTGAATTCATAAAAATGAATCGTTTATCCAATATTCGCTATTCGATATCAGAATATTGACATATCTATATTTGATCGAATATCTTAACTTATTTCATATTGTTTTTTGTCATTTCGTGTGATCGCGCTCAACTAATGGTCTTTATTTTTCCTCCTCACATATCTGAATTCATCTCTTTCTTGTTTCATAGATATTTGAATTTTAAACTAGTGCAACTTGAGATTTTATTGTATTAAACCGAAGAGTAAATTGAAAAGCAATTCAATCATTTTGAGTAAAAAACTCTGTTCATCTTTGATTCATTCGATTTTTCCTCATATTCAATGTTGTTTTCTTTTTTTTCCGAAATTTCAAAATTATCCAGTTCCACAATTGAATTGTGTAAAAGCAAACAATTAAGAGGTCATTTAAATGTTGACATAAGTTTTGTTGTCGTTGAGATGCAAAAATCATCAATTGTATAATGGTGAACATTTGTTGACAAATTGTACGACATTTGCATCTGTCAGGAACAAGAACAAAAATCGATTATTTATCAGTTGAAACGAGCCTTCGTTCATCTAACTTACAGATTGATTCTTTTCCACTAGTAAAGAAAAAGGTTTGTCAAACAACTTATTCCGCCACTTTTCACCAAATTTGCACAGCTTGTTCATTTCATGTCCATCAAGAGTGTAAAATATTCACCAAAAAAAGTTGAAAAGTCAAAGCTAGAATGAGTCAAATTGCTCAATTGGTAAGTCAACAAGTAACAAAAGTTTCATCTTTTTTCCATTCCTTTTCATCTCACAGGTTTCACTCTCAATTTTCATTCTTCTATCATTAACTTTCTTCCTACTTGTTCTCATTGAAATAATTCCAACAACTTCCCTGTCAATTCCACTTCTTGGACTTTACCTTTGCTTCACCATGGTTTTGGTGACTTGTTCCGTTGTGGTTACCATAGCAATTTTAAATGTTCACTTTCGCTCACCTTCAACCCATAAAATGGCTCCTTGGGTGAGAAAATTTTTCATTCGAAAATTGCCCAAAATTTTGCTCATGAAACCGCCTCAGTATCGATTTGAAAACATCGATGAATCTCGAGATAAATCGACTTCGAAAGATCAAACAAGTAAGTTTTTTCCATTTTGTTGAAAATTTTTCTAAAAGTTTCAAAACTCAGTCAATAACTTATGCAATAATCTTGACAAAAAGAAGAAAGAAAAGATCGAAAAAATGATCAATCTCAATTTATTCTTTTCTTCATTTGATTACATTATTACAATCGAATTCGAAGTTTCCGTTCAACTTTAGTTTGTAATTGGGTTGAGTGCAACTTGACCAGGACAAAACTTTGACACTGACCTGGCCAGATGTGTACAGAAGAGTGATTCAAGTTGAATGGAATGAGGAAAGAAAGGCATTTCAAGATTGTTTTCTTGTATCAAATTGATGATTTGATTGTTGTCTGGGAAATCGATCAATCACATTTTACTTTCCATTCCTAAACTATGATCAACTTTGTCAATCAAAAAAACTTGCGTCATTCTCTTTGCTTCTTCAAACAATAATTTCACTTTCAACCCATTATTCTGTGTTCACTTTTCATACTCGAGTTCTGAAGTAGCATGAGAAGAGAAAAAAAGTCTTCTCTTGATATAAACACACACACACACAAACAATCTCCTGATGCTTTTCAAAACCTCATTTTCCACCCTCCTTCTTACTCTTTTTCATCATCAATTCTTTGCCCTCGAAACAGCCACTTGAATGTGCAAACAGAAAGAGAGTATCAAAAGTGAACGAGACAAAAAAGGGAAACAAAAAACTTCTCAAGTAACTTTCACTGTGTAACTTGAGATATTTACTTGTGTAAAAAGAAGCTTTGTGTTGCTCTGATTTTTTGTTCATCCTCTTTTCTTCAACTAATTTCCTTACATGAGAAATCAATGAGAAAAGTTGATTATGTCAGAAAAAAAGATGAAGATGAAAGATAAGTTGAAAACTTACTTTTATTCATTTCATTTCATTCACCAGCTTTCCACAAATCAATTGATTCAATTAACTCTTTAAACGGCTTCTTCTTTCAACTTTTGTCTGTTCAGAATCGCAAGCTTCATGTAAAGTATTATAAAATAAACAAAAAGTGTTGGATCGCGAAATTGAATCCAAAAAGAAATGATAAAAAACAGATTTTACCATTTTATCATGGATCAACATTACAAGCACATTAACATATGAAGAATAACTTTTGAGCTAAAACTTGCGAAACGAAAGGTTCGATAAAAGTTCAAATCTGACTCATAAGAATATTTCAGCCCGAAAAACATCGAAATTTTCGTTACATCTTTAGGTTCTCCTTATCAGAAATACAATGCCCTAGATTTCAATCATAGCTTCTCCATTCTAAGAGCTTACAGAAATCGAAAAATCAAAAAATTCTCTGCCTTTTGCTCTTTTGAGAAGCTTGTGTTATCTGAGAACAAGTCTGAAAAATTGAATTATTCCGAAAACTCGAAATTTAAGACTTTTTCCAAAGTTGTTCTCGTTTATCAATAAAAGGGTTGAGTCTATTTGCAATTCTCAAATGCATTAAAAGCCTAGTTTGGAGTGAACTTTGATCAAGAGATTTTGAGAATTTGTTTTAAAATAAAATTGTTTATCCCAAAAGGCTGAGCAAAACTTTGCGGTTAGTTGAAACCAAAAAGGAAACACTTTCGAGTTTCAAGTGAGTTTAAAGAGAAAAGTTGTAAGAAATTTTGAATAAGATTAGCGAGAAATGTCGAAAAAAGTTGGAGTAGAAAAAGTCAGAAAAATTGAGTCAAGGAATAAGCATGATAAATGATTTGAAATTCCGAGAAAAAAAGGAAAAAGCAAAATATTGATAGTTGAAGACTGAATATAAAATGAGTTTCATGGGTTGAAGGAAAAGATTGATGTAAAGGGAAAGTTGAGAAGGCAGATGAAAACATAAAAGAAAAAGTGATTCGAAAGATTTCTCCAAAAGACTGATAATATATACAATAATAGTAATAATATTAGAATTAAATGTAATAAAAGTGAAAACATTTGAAGGGAAGAGAAAAAAATTGTAGCAGAAATAAGCTGAGATTCAAACTTTTTCGTTTTCTTCAAATTCATAGTTGACAGACTTGACTTGAACTTGGCAAAAGTCGACAAGTTTTTTGTTCCTCTCAAAAGCTGTTCTTATGAGTTGGATATTGAATAGTTGATTGAATTTAAAGGCAAACAAAAAGTTGACAAACAATTGAAAGGTGAGCAAACAGTCGTCATTGAATTCATTTGTTTCATCTTTTGGTGCAAATTTGATAAACAGGTGAATATCATTATTGACATTTGCTGTTGTTTCCTTTTCCTCAAAATTCTCTTCTCTCTTCTTCTGTTGCTCTTGTCATCTGTTGGTCAGTTTCTACTCCAATTCCATGGCGATTTAACTTGTTTTGATCCATTCTCTTTGGCTCTTCTTCTTGTCTTCATATAATGTTTATTGAAGGATAACATTCATTCAACTGAAAAGGCAAAAAGGAGCAAATTCCAGATGAAACTTGGGAAGAGGCGAAACAAGGTTATCAACATGTTCAAGTATTCATTTGTTCACCTAACATGAAACAGAATTGTTGAGAACTTTTTGAATAGATTAATCAATTATTATTTACTTGTTGGTTGAAGTCTGAGTTTGTTTCAAGTGAATGTAACAAACGGAAGAACTGTGAATTGAGGCTTTAATAAAGTTGCAGTCAATTGTTCAGAGATGAAATGTTAAGGCAAACAACGAAAGTTGAAACAATGTTTGATTGCGAATTTACACTGAATTCAAGTTTTTCTTCTTTGATCAATATTGAAGGAAAATTTGGAAACAAACTTATTTGCTCTCTAAATAAATACAATCAAAGTTTACAGGACAAACAAAAGCTTGGACAATTAGAACATCAAGACTGTGTCGAGTCTAAATCAACTGCAAATGCCGGATGAAAGGTCAAGCTCTATCTTTCAAACTGTTACCATTTCTCCTTGAATAAACTTTCAATTCCTCAACAATATAAATCTTTATCAAAGATTCTAGTTAATGAGCAAGATTTACAGTCGAAATAGCATTTCGATTCTTTTTTGATTTCCAAAATCATGAAAAGTTCAACTTTTACAAGGTTAATAGGATTTAGAGACAGAATGAAAAGGTCAAAACAATGTTTTTCTTTGCATTTCATTTTGACAAGTAACGTTTAGGATTGCAAATTGCAGGTGAGAATCGATTCAATTTTGACATCTATTGAAAAGTCATGAGAATTAATCTTAATTTTGAAACTAAAATGTTGAGGTTCGATCTTGAGACACTTCTATAAACTGTTTTGTCAATGGGATCAGACAATTTAGTTTCATTATCCGGCTCGATGGAAAGCGAGGTGAAATTTATGCAAATTTCTTGGGATTTGGTAAAGAATCACCTCAAGGTTGGATAGAAAATTTTATTCCATGAGAGTAGAAAAAAAGAAAAAATAAAACTGAGAATGTAACTGAACAAGGAGAAATGGCCTCGGGTTAATATCATTGAAGAGTCTTGTGATTGCAACAACCACATGATATAAAACTATCATTACCTTTGTTAAGTGTTTCTCTGTTTTTTTTCATCTCGTTGATGGATTATCAGACTTTTTATTATTTCATTCAATCGATAGCTTTGTTGCTGAAAGGTGCAAAAAACAAGGAAAACAAGATAAACAGAAAAAAAAGAAAATACAACAAATTGAATGAAACTAATAAATTGATAGTAAATATTATTAGTTAAATACTTTGCAAGCGTTTGGTTTCATTCCTCTTTTTCGAGTTTCGTCCCTGATACTTGAATATTCAATTGACCAGTTTACAGTTCAATTTGATGTGAGTTGATGAAATGGTTAAACGGTGTTGATGGAAATCGTTTGTTTTTCCTCTTTACTCTTTTTTCCAGGCCAAAAGAGAAGAGTAAAGGGAAGAAAAGATGATGATTAAGAAGATAAATAATGAAGAAAGAGATCAAATCAATCCAATGGAATTGAGAAGTAAATGTTTGATTGAATACACAATTGGATCCATCATCTTCGTCTTCTTCATCTTTTACTTTCTTTTTAGCCTTTTGTACCAATGTTTTTGTCTCTTGTTTATTCAGCTTTTTTTGCTTTCTTTCTTGTATTACGATTTATTCCTTCTGTTTATCTTGATTGATGTTGATGAGAGGGAGCTTTTTGGGTGAAGATGATGAAGATGCATTTAAAAGTTGTACCGATAAAAGTAAAGGATAATGATGATGAGAAAAGAGTGGGAAGAGAAGAAAATTTCTCAACTCAGTAAATCTGTGTTCATTCAAACATATTCCTGTGAATATAAATATAAATATAATAATAGACTCTAGTTCCAACTCTATTTTTCCCTTTTCACTCTGAAAGTTTTCCTATTAAATCAATAATACAAAAACTAAACTTTGAGTTATTTCAAGGGTTGAAAGTAAAATTAAAAATATTCTGTTATTCATTTGTTTGAAAGGCTGCAATTGACAATAGACAAATGCAAATGAAAATAATTTCTATTTACTTGCTTTCTTGTTATCTGTTCAACTGTCTT